TTCAATTGCTAGCTAGCGTTTCCAAACGGGTTACACCGGAAAATGTAGAGGCTGTTATGGCGACGACATTAGGGAGCCGTGCGAAATTGCCCAGACTTGAAAGTAAAAAAGACTTCAAACAATAATTTTTTTTAGTTTCTTTTCTATAACTCACTTAAATTAATTTTTTCATTTACATATGTTCTGACTAAATAAATTTCTTAAGAGAAAAAATAGATATTATTATAAATAAATAATAAATATTATTATAAATAAATAAATAAAAATAAAGAAAAAACATAGCCATTTAGCTGATTTTTTCATGTAAAGGCCAAAAATGGTGATTTTTTGAAATGATTGTATGGGGAACCCCCCAGTGGAGTTCCAGGGGGTGTGCCACTGGCATGGATGGATCGACCGTCCAAAGTTAGTGGGGTCGGTCATACATTTGGACTCGATTGGAGCACTCTAAATGGGTCAAAGTGGGATTTTTCAAAATTTGCCCCTACCCAAAAGTTCGACACAAATTGGGGGACATCAGAATTCGTTTTAAGCAGGGATCACACGATTTGTACATTTGGCTAAAAATTTGCCAAATTCATAGACAAACCGTGTGAACACTAAATTTTATTTGTCATTTATCAGAAAAGCCAAATATTTGGCTTCTTGTGGCAAATCAAAAACAGCCTTAGTGGCCAAATCGTGTGAACGCAACCCTGCTACTTAAGCCAAATAAAAATTACGCAAATGACCAAATATCTGATTTGCCACTTGATGACAAATGCTTGTGACAAATATACAAATATGGTTGAGCAGTATTGCCATTTTATTAATATGTTCGAGATTGTGAAGTTTTTCGCTTTCCAATTTTGACACCAATAATTTTAAAATATTTGTTTAAAATGAACCAAGGCAAATTTCTACAAGGTGATAGCAGCAGCACAAAAACAAAAAACTACACTAATAAATTAAACGCACGATGACAATGAGAACACAAATAAATAAAATATATAAATATTTTAATATACCACGTTTCTATAAATGGACTAAAAAATAGAAAATAATATGGTTGTTCACGCTTGCCTGAGTATCAGGTTATCTTGTTATGTGGTAATATTTTTTATTCAGTTTACAATAATAAAATACTCTACAGAATAATTTTGTTTTAACCAGATAGTCCATTTATAGAAACGTGGTATATTAAAAAGTATTTTTTTATTGTATGTTTTTCTACTTTTTAGTCTTGTCTGTATACAATTTTGCAATAGATATTAAAATAAATCATTGATATTCTGATACATATATGTATCGTATTTTATCAAACTGACATTTTATTTATTCTCTCTTACAACCTACGTGTATATTCTTAAGATTTACATACATATGAGCAGCAATTAATTCCATTTAAAGAAATGGCGTATCGTGCGGTTCCCCTGCAGTAGAGCATTGCATATTTTCAGGCGTAGTAATAATGCGATTGTTAAATATTTAACTGCTCCCGGCGAGGTAGATGTCTAGACTAGTTTGTTTACAATTGCCGCAATTCGCCTTGAAAATTTGCCTATTATTCCCCGAGCATATCTCAAGATAAATTAACAATTTATACATTGTTGTAAGCGGCGAAATGTATTTTTCATCGGGTAAACAGAAATAAAGTTATGGGCAAGTACATGCAAATGTGCTTCAACCAATGAAAAACGCGTTTTTAGACCTTATGCATATGCATAATTAGACCTGCTTGATTAGACCTACAACCTCAGCTATGTCTCAGGGAAAGTATATTTTCACTGTCAATCAACAGTTTATTGTAAAAGTGGTAGTGATTTTTTCTTCGACTTGGTAATTTTTTCGTCTAAACTTGGTTAAAAACTTTTGTACTGCGCCAACACTGGGTCTTCTCGCCCCAAAATCACCTGTTTTATCCATTCAAGTGAACACAAATAAAAACAAAATACATTCAATTATTAAGTTGCTTTGATTGGGTTTCTTTAAAATATCTCGTATTTAACTTTAATCGTTAGATATTTTGGTGAGTTAATGCCTTTACATGAATAAGTGTACATATATATGTTAAAAACTGCAATTTATAATAGACAATGGAAGCGGTCGAAGATTTAGATCAGATTTTAATTACTGCAGTATGTGAGGATGTAGCCTCGACATCAACACCAATTAAAGATCCTGAGAAAAAAAAAGAGAAAACGGCCGCATGTAACAACAGCTTGGACACAGGAGAACATCTTTAAATTAATTAACGCCATTGAAGTTCATTCATGCATATGGGAATATTCTTCTAGCGACTATAAAAATCGCCAACAAAAGGACGATGCATGGAAGCAAAATCAGGAAAAAATAGTTGTTCACAGCATGGATGAATGCAAGGCGAAATGGAGCAATATTAAGATCTCCTACAACAATATAAAAAAAAAATATGCAACTAAATCTGGTCAAGGCGCAATCGAAAAACCCCACTGGCCGTTCTGGTCTGCGATGAAATTTTATTATAATCATGACCGTGCTAAAACCACAACATCAGAGTCAAATCTGAGGTTGGACAGCGAAGTCGATATTTCAAACGATGATACTCAGACATCCAGTGTTAATGAAAATGCAAGTACATCGAGTAATAAATCGCCAGACGACATTTTAGTGTCAGCAATAAAAATGCTTGAACAAAAAGATGACAAATGGACAGTTTTCGGACAATATATGGCAATGCAGATGAGGGATATTTCTGCACAGGACGGCGGAAATTATAAAGAAAACAATGGAAACGCTGTTGGCTGTTAATAAGACCAAATAACAGAGTGAAAATCTCCGAGCTAACCAACATTTTTTAGATGATCGATTTATTTCCGAACAAAAAACCATTTCGGTAAATATATAGAAAAAATGTCTCCCATGTGTACCAACTATGTAACTTTGGCAATTTTTGGAGATTCGCATTATTTCAACAGATATTTATGTTATCAGAATTTTAGTTGCAAGGCTTTGAATATTATTCTTTTTTCTCACGATTCATAAGGCAGATCTTCCTAGTTTTTGGCATAGTTACGTATAGGTGATTATATTACCTTCCGATTGATATTTTTGCAGTCACAAAAACCGTGTTACATGTCCGTAGAAAAGCACGAAACACTGTAAAAATATCAATCGGAATATGATATAATCACTTATACATAACTATTCAAAAAACAAGGAAGATCTGTCAATTAAAATGCAAGTAACATACTCAAAAAATCGCCAAAGTTATATAGTTGGAACACTTTGAGGAATTTTACCCTATATACATATTTATGTATATTCTTTTCATATTTCTAATGAATTACTTTTAATTTTCTTGTTAATAAAATTTTAATTGTGGCACCTCCCACAAGAACAAACTGTTTACCTCTGGAATCGTGTATGCTAAGGTACTGAAATTTAGTAACATTTAAAATCTTATCAATATCGAACTAGCAGCGAAAGTGAAAAGTATTGCAAGAGGGGGAGTTACACCTTCCGAACAAACAATTGCTCATAATTTTTTGTTACATGGAAGAAAATGCGCAATGCCGTCACCAAAAAAATATCAAAAATGAACGCGAATATCAAAGCACTTCATACTTGCACGCTATTATACTGAAATATAATGGGCTATAAAATTGCATACCATAAGTTATTGTTGAAATTCTATTTGAACTTTTGATGAAAACGTGTTGAATCTTCTAAATTGTATACAAAGTTTGAAATTTGGATTGTTGGAATGAATGACTTTTATATAAAAAGATAATGAGCATTAAATAAATATAGAAACGTTGTCAAAATTGGTCAAAATGTTGTACAACTATTATTATGGCCATACGTGTATGCTGATTTCTTAACCAACACTCCCCGCCTGAAGATGTGTACTGACCCAGATGTTTATATTTTAAAGTCTATCTGACTTTTTTCAATTTTAACTATAAGTTTCATGAAAACATAGTTCATTCAATAACATAACGTCACTACACACGAATAAAGGCGCGCTAGTGTTTTGACGGCGAAAAAAGGCGTTTAAAAATATTTTGCGAAAAAAGATGCTTATAAAAAACTTTGGCGAAGTATGTTAAGAGTATTTGACGCTGAAGTTTTTTTGTGCGTCTTTTTCGGCGTCAACTTTTGAGCTCGCGCCTTTATTCGTGTCTAGTGGCGATAAATCATATACATAAATCAAAGTTCAAAGTTTTGTAAACAATTTTAAGCAAAATTTCAGCATAATCAAGTGCAAGTTTGAAGTAGCCAAAAATTCGCCTCGATTTTTGATAATCTTAATACTGATTAAAAATTTTGAGTGATTTTTCCTCGACGCTTTCAGCTTTGGTTTATGTAGATGGTTTATGTTATTTTATGCACTACTATGTTTTTATAAAACATATAGTGAAAATTGAAAAAATCGAATAAACCTTAAAATATAAACATCTGAGTATTGTTTGTAATCATCCGGTTGGGCACTGTAAATACAATCATTATAATAATTAAGTACACTAAATATTTATTGAATAATGACACATACCTGCGAAATTTAACTTTTCCCCCCTCCAATAATTATGTATTTTTTTAATATCGAGGTATGTCAAATTAAAATATCTCTTTGGTTTTTTCTAACACGTCGTGGTTTTTTTAATGGTGACATGTATATTTTAGAAATTTTAACAACTTGCATGAGAAGCCAAAGAATAATTAATTTAGAATTGAATTTTTACTTAAAACCCAACAGTATTATTTAAAAATATCCAAAACGAGACAAAGTAAATCAGAAAAACTTATGTAATTTCGAAGTTAGCGCATTAACTCTAAAAAAAATAATTTTTGACAATTTTCTTAGCGTTAACATCGAAATTAATAAAATTTTATGATTTACTTAGTCTCTTTATGGGTATTTTTAATTAATAATTTAAAGTTTTTGTTAAAAATTCAATTCTAAATTAATTATTTTTTGGCTTCTCATGCAAGTTGCAAAAAATTCTAAAATATACATGTCACCAATGAAAAAAGAGGTATTTAAATTTTAGATATCTCAGTATTTGGAAAAAAAATTATAACATAATTATTGGAGGGGGCGGGGGGTTTAATTTCGAAGGCCTGTGTAATTAATTAAAATATGAATTGATTATGGCCGCGTTTTCGAGCGTGGGCTATACAAGTTTACAAATGTCTGTATTGGAATGGTACTTCACCATTGACAGACATAAAATATTCTTCAAATTCTCTCCTTATTTCCTTTGCTTCATTGCTTATGTAATTGTTTGGCTATTCTACTGTTCCTTCTTGAACTGGTCGAAGTGAAACTTGGTTAAATTCAATTGGTATTAGATTGCCTTCCTCATCAGTTTGGCTTTCCACATAGTTCGAAGATTTCGTTATCAAAAAATTATGCAAAGCACAGCAAGCCATGGTGACCTTTGTTGTTTTAGTAGGATTCAAACGAATTGGTCGGGAAAATACTTGAAACCGTTTGGCCATTATTCCAAACACATTTTCAACAATACGTCTTGCTCTTGATAAACGATAATTAAATATGCGCTGGCCAGCTGACAAATTTCTTCCAGGGTATGGCTTTAGTAAGTGCTTTTGCATACGAAAGGCATCGTCTGCCACTAAAACGTATGGAACATTAAGTTCGCGGCCTTCCAATGGTCTAGATGAAGGTAGTCCAAGAGAATTCATGTTCAAGGCGTGCTGGAAAGTTGATTTGCCAAAAACTCCACCATCGGAAACTCGTCCATTGCAGCCAACATCAATATATACGAATTTATACTCTGCGTCTGCAATAGCCATTAGGACTATGCTATGAGTACCTTTGTAATTAAAGTAGGTACTTCCGCATCGCGTCGGAGCTTCCATTAGGATGTGCTTCCCATCAACTGCTCCTATGCAGTTGGGGAAATTCCATTTTTCATTGAATTTTCTGGCAATTTCATTCCATTGATCTTCATTGGATGGAACCTAAGAAATGAATAATCTAAAATTAAATTTTTCGTTTATACTATAATGGGTATATATTTACCTGCAAATATTCATCTTTGAGTATTTTGTAAATTGCATCACAAACTTCCGGTATGAATAAAGATATAGTGTTGGGCGCAATACGAAAAGCTACAGATAAGCTTTTAAAACTGTCCCCTGAAGCGAGAAAGCGCAGTGTACAAGCCAAACGTTCACAGTCTGGAACCGCTTTTCGCATATTTGTATCATTCTTTTTTACAAATGGAGAAATCTTTTTAAGAAGTTCGCTGAAATTCGTTTCGTTCATACGCTGTAATTTTTAAACAAATATTTTTGATTATTTATTTCCCGGAACTCGCGCAAATTTTTTTCGTAAGCGCCCTCGGTGCACCTTTTAAGGAGCCATTCGTTCACCCAAACACTTCGTGGAGTCATATTTCTTTTCTTTCTAGGAATACTATTCTTTTCAAGACATCTTTTCCGTTTTATATAATAACAAATGTATATAATCGCTGCGAGTTTCTTTTGCCTTTGCGTATCCATTATTTTTTGTATATTTCACTTAAAATCTCACAATATGTATCACAGATGCAAAAGTATGGTTGACAACTGATCAGCTGTTTAAGTATTTATGACCAAATGGTTAAACCGTGTTAATGAATGTGGACAATATTTGTCACTTCTCTGTCGTGTGCAAATGTGTGACAAATCATTTGGATCTTTAGCAGCCAAATCGTCTGATCGCAAAACAAATCATTTGCACATCGATATCCAAATGCGCAAATGTGAACAAATCTAAATTTGGCATTTTCTGTACAAATGTACAAATCGTGTGATCCCTGCTTTAGAGGTATGGTTCCTTCGGCAAAGTTTCTTATTTTGATCCCTAGAATACGATTTTCACAGAGCAATGAGCGATTTTTAAATCGACCCGCCCTAATATTCATACTAAAAAACATTAGTTAAATTGACCGTTTTCTTCTCCATATAGTAAAATGAGTAATATTTTTGAAGAGGGTGACTTTTCGGCTGATGACAACGTTGCGGATCCCGACTTTATACCAGAAAAGCCATCGCGTAAGCGAAGATTGCATCTGGACGAACCTTCTCCATCCAAAGTGGCACGGGTCAACGCCATACCGTCCAGCAACATTTTTTGCTCCGAATTTTATACGGATGTGAAACAAGTTTGTTCTTATGTTTGTGAAGTGCTGTATTGTGTGTTGCGTTTATGTATTTTTAATAACAAAATTATTTTTTAGTAGAGGTAATAACAATGTTGTGTACAATAATTTAAGTAGAATCAAAGTTCACAAATTAATTAGATAAAGCTATTATTCAAGGTTGAAATTTCTGGGAAAGTCTCAGTGGTTGTGGACGTATCATAAAGGGGGCCGGGGGAGTTACCTCCAATTTCATCAAACATTTGAGACGAATACATAGCGAATTATTTGAGAAGTATAAGGTTGTGAAGGTAAATATTATACAGAAATTAAATTTATAAAGCAATATTAAATAACAATCAATATTTCAGACTGTCAAATCAGATATTCAAACCGCACAACAGAAGTTTGATTGCAGTCTGCCTGTTTCACTTTTTGAACGTCGCTCTTTCCGAGAGTCATATGAAATGACTGGACTTAAAGTTCCCAGCAGGCAGACACACATGATGATATTGGAGGACCAATATAATAGCATTTTGGAGAAAATACGAGCTGATATCTCATCAGCTAAGTATTTTTGTACAACGGCCGACATATGGTCGGGGAATCACCGCAGCTTCTTCGGGTACACGTGCCACTGGTTAGATGATAAATTCGAGAGAAAGTCAGCTGCTTTAGCTTGCAGGAGACTGACTGGTACACATTCATCCGAAAAACTGACGCAGGTCATTAGCGACATAAATAGCTCCTTTGGACTAAACAGTTCAAATGTCGTCATGACTGTCACTGACAACGGTTCGAATTTTGTGAAGGCGTTAAGGAGCACGGGGTTTCCCCAGACATGGGCGACATCGATAATGGCCTGCCTCAGTTCGAAAATGAATGTCTTTTGCCTAAGCATCAGAGATGTGCCAGTCACACCCTTAATTTGCTTGCGACTACTGACTTCTTGAAAATTTTTAAATCAAACGGAGAACTTCATTACCAGAACACTATGGTAAAGTTCTATTTATTGCTTCATTGTTTTTTTGGTTCATGGTTTTTTTTAAATCTTTCAGGTTTTTCAAAAGTGTAACGCTTTGTGGAAGAAGTTTTCGTATCCAAAGTCCTCGGAAGTGGTAGTTCGCGTTTTAGGCTGTTCACTTGTTGTCCCAATAGTAACCCGCTGGAACTCATTATACGATGCGGTAAAAAGGTTACTTCAGCATGAGGAAGAACTGGGACACCTGTGCTGCGAAGGGAATGTGCCGCAAATCCACTCAGGGGACTTGAGATACCTAGAGTCATACGTTGCATTAATGGAGCCGCTAGCTGCAGCGCTTGATTTTATGCAGGGGCACAAAGATATTAAATATGGCTTCCTTATACCGACTCTCATGCCGCTGAGCAATAAGCTAATTAAATTTAGCGAAAATAAGGAATCTCGGTTAGAGTCAACGGCAGATATGACAGCTGCAATATCGAACCAATATTACAGCTATCTGAACGATGATTCCACCGCCGAAGACTCCTTAAACAAATATTGCTATCTGACGGAGGCGTGTATAAAATTTAACACCCCTTTGCCTTCATCCGCGCCTGTTGAAAGGCTGCTTTCTTTTGCGGGTATTATCAACAGCTCCAGAAGACAGTCCATGGCTGACTTCTCATTTGAGAAGTTGGTCATTATGAAGGCCAACTCTCAATATTGTTATTAAGATTTGTTAATAAAAAATTAAATTAAATATATTAAAATATGCTTTCATACCTCAGGGAAAGGAGTATATGTGCATTATTGTTTTACGCGATTTCTTTTCTCTCAAAAAGCATATTGAAATTGAGAAGCTTTGTTTTTTGTTATCTTTTATTACTACTATTGAAATAAATTACATTGATAAGTTTCAATTCATTTGCAATAGTTTATGAAAAATGAAGTTGGTTCACATATACTTATTTCCATAAGGTATGTCGCATTTGTTGTTTTCTCAAATAATATGCGCAGAATAATTGAAATATATTTATATATGTAAAATGAAATTAAATAAATAAAAATACAAAAATATTAGAAATATATAAAAATGGTATCAAGTACTTGAAAGTAATTGGAAAAAGTACTTCAACTACTTTCAACTCCTTTATATTACTTTTGGTAATTGATGGTAATTCCAAGTACTATTCAATTACAAGTACTTGTACTCGAGTAGTAATTGATAAAAGGTAATTGTACTTGAAAAGAATGGATTACATTAAATTAAACCCAAAGTATATAAATTACTACTCATTACAATTAGTAATCATTACTTAACAGGTCAACTTGACGCATAAATACTTCCTCTAATTCACCATTCAAATATGCTGCTACGATATCGATGTGATTACAAGCAACTCGTATTTGACTGCTGCAGCCAACACTAACCGAATGGTTGATTGTCTAGCCACAGGTGCATATGTTTCATTAAAATCTTCACAATAAATCTGCGAACATCCTTGTGCAACTAATCTTGCTTTGAATCTCTCGACTGTACCATCTGACTTATATTTTGTTGCAAATACTCACTTCGAACCGATAACATTTTTCCCTTTCGGACAATCTACAAATTCCCATGTATCATTTCTAAGTAACGCATCATACCCCCCTGCATAGCTCCTTTCCATTGTTCGCTATTTTCTTATCTCAAAGCACTTGCTACCGTTACAGATACAGTTTACGTGGACGGCCAACTGTTCCATTTCTTATCATTCTAGGCCTACCGCTCTTACACTTACCTATAACAATTGTAACGTCATCTTCATCTCCAACACTCACCAGAGCTTAAATTACTTCCTTCTTCAGCAATAGGAATTGCAACACTAGCCCTCTTGTTAGTAAGTACATCATTTAGTTCCATCTCGTTAGTATTTGAAATACTGCGACCCACTTTGAGATGCTATTTTCATTGGACCACAAATGTACTAACTAAAGAACATCGGTTGAATAAATGCATGACAGCTTTTTAAATGGCCTTTTAGTAATTTTACACATTGCGCACGTAGTACAACTAAAATCTTCAGGCATTATCACGTTTAGTCCGTAAACAATATTTTTCTTTGACAAACCGCAAATGTCTTTAACGTTTAAATGTCCAAACCTCTTATGTCAAATATCAATGTCAGATTTTTTATTATTAACCATCGCATTCAACCTTTCGTTCTCATCAAATCGCACATAAAAACCACCACTGTCTACTTTCGTCGAAAAAATGGTCTCACTATCTTTTGATTTCACCGTAGACTTATTTTTATCAAATTATACGAAATAATCTCGTTCAATTATTTTGCTTACTGAAAGAAAATGCCCACGTAAGCTGGACACATATTGTACATCTTTCAACACAATGTCATGAGTATTAAATTTTACTTTAATAGGACCCATCCCTTTAGCAACAACAAAATCGCCGGACGCAAGAGTCACCAATTGTTCGCTGTTTTCAATTGCCGAAAAAAGGTTTATATTACTGCACATATGTGAAGAAGCGCCACTGTCTAAACTCCACGTGTTATTATTTGCATTTTTTTCTGAAGACTGAAAACTGACTCCTTTTTAGCCGTTTTACACTGCGGCTTAATATGCCCTCGCTTACCACAAGCATAGTATTTAACAGTACTGCAATTACGCGATTTTGTATTCTGTTGATCACTGCTTCTATTTATATTAGGTTCATTCCTTATCTTTTTGGACTAAAATCTGAAAAGTGTC